GCAATTTGCAGTCATTAAATGCATTTCCCTTTATGTTTCCCTGTGGCTCACCCGCCAAACAGTCTGTTTTAGAGCTCAGGGAGCACTGCTACTTGCCTCCTTCTCTGGTGCATTACTGAGCACCCCATAGGGAGATCTTACAACCAATTCATATGCCCACTCCATTCTACTGAAACACTCCTTTCTTCTTAATTTATTTACCTGATAACCAGTAAAGTAGTTAACTACCAGCTAAATGGATTTGTAAAATTTTTGTCAACTTTCATATATAGACTATTCAAGTTCATTGTAAAGTCAAACTCAGAAGTTTCATGGAGGTTTTAGTCAGTTCCCTCCCACTCCCAGTAGAAACAATTCTGATGTTGTGCAACAAGTTCAGGCTGTAATATATCCATAACAGAGATGTGAGAGAAATGGGGGGAGGAGGGAGGAAGCTCTCTGTTAATTTGAAGTTTAAGGTAAAATACCTTTCATAACAGCTACAGTACTGGCTACACTCAAGTCACAGTGGGCCACTGGCTGTGCAAATTCAGGACTAAGAAAGATAAAATATATTTTCTATTACTGAATGTGTACAGAATTAGTCCAGGTACAATAACTAACTTTTGTTTGAAGAAATATTGATTTAAAGTCATGTTCCAGTGCAGTTAATTCCTTGTAGGAATTTTTAGAGTTTAAAAATTTTACTTTGAGTGCAGAGCCTACAAATTGTCCATAAAAAATTATTCTCTTGGAATGGACTGTAATTTCATTATCCAGTAAAAACAGTGACTCACTGCATTGAAAACAAAAATGCTATTATACAGCAGATATTCAGCATTACACATTTTCAGGATGTACAGAACCACCCATTTCATGTACATGCCTCTGTCTCCATTTAATACTGGCCAGAACTGCCTGCCAAGTTTTGTGGATTATTTAAACCACTACCTGAACTTTTTTCCTTCTTTAAGATGAAAGGAAAAAAAATACTGTGTAGATCGTTTTTTGTTTTTTTTTAATTTCATCTTGAGAAACAAGTCAAATCACAGGTTCTATGTACTTCATTCCTCTCTAAATCAATATCAAATTCCTTTAAAATGTATAAATTTGGTTTTCCAAGGTTGTGATAAACCTGCAAGAACTGCAGTAGGTTACTCTGGTGCTATACACAGAGAAAACATAAGTTCAAATTACTACTCAGATTTATTTGTAGAGATTGACTGTTACATTTGCTTATGCATGATAGGCAAAGCACAATGGTTTTTGCTCAAATTTCTTACCTGTGCAATAGTCCTGTAACAATGCAATATTCATTAACTTGGGCATTATAATTGATATGGTCCCACCCCTTAAGCAATCATAGTTTGCTTGGGGACAAGAATTTTCTAGAGCACCAGATCCCTGTATAAAAGCCAAGAGAAGCAAGTATATTCCCAAGCAATAATCCTGCTCTCTCCCGCCCTCAACAAATCCATATTTTGAGTATGCAACAACTTGAGGGAAGAAAAATCCAACCTGAATTAATACAGGAATTTTACTACTTAGAATAAAAATTACTAAGTCACTGGGCACATCTACACGAGACATTTACTGTGCAGTAGCCTAATAACACTGTGCAGTAGTGTGCCAGTCAAAAACTGTGCTAATATGCTGTTGCAGTGTCATTAGGCTACTGTGCAGTAAGCATCACAAAAAAAACATGTGCTGGTGGTACTGTGCATTAAATGTAGTTACTGCATATTCAGTTAGTACTTGATTAAGGAAGTACTAAACTAAATGTGCAGTAACTACAATGCTTTTATAAATGTGTAGATGCACCCAATGAAGAGTATCTCTGTAAATGGGAACTTCCAGATTGGTGTCAAATACATATAAAAAAAACAAAGCTGTATTCTCATATGCAGAGACGTTCAATAATTTAGACACTACTGCCAGGAGCTGGTGAGTGGTGATCGCATTGAACCAGAAAGAGAAAAAGATAATGAAGGGTCAAACACAGAAGCACGGAAGACTGGGTAACTAAAAGTAGTATTACCAGTGCAGAGCTTGTGCAGAAGTGTGTAGGTAGGGCACACTTGGACTCGCCACTGCTGTGGTGTAGACATACCTAAAGTGACTGCAGCTTGTAATGGGCATGGTCTATCATGTCTTTTAAAGAATGAACTGATGAGAGAACTGAGCTCTACACCCTACACAAGTTCACAATTATTTTTCTTTTGTTAAAGACCATCAACAGCTCAG